TTTCGTCCAAAATCAATTTCTATAAACATGTTTTTTGTCCTAAATATATTATTTGTATATACCGTGTTAATTATTATTTTAAAATTAAAAAGAACTAACAACGATAGAAAGCATGTACTTATGTAAAAGTCGATTCCAAAACGTGAAGGTGTACAATAACGAGTAAAAACACATAGGTAATTATCGGCTTTACTGCCGTAAAGGAGTAGCATGAGGACATTATCTCACATATGTGATGTGTTTTTATTCCTTTATGCTCGTACGAAGAACATATTCTTATGCGTTACGTAAAATCTGGAACTTTAGTGAGGCACCAAGTACCTTTTGGAGTTTTGATGAAATAAAGATAAGTTAATGGGTTTTAATTTTACTATTTAAGTACTATTTGAAATTGCTATGGTTGTTTCAATATTCTTTTCTAAGAGGAAATCCCATATATTATCATTCTTAACCACTGAAATAAATACATAATAATAGAATGTTGAATATATATATACAAATATAATTATAATATATATCATGTCATAATGAAATAATAATAATGCACCTAAAAATAATTATCATGAATGACGAAACATGATTCCACAAAAAGAAGCCACCTACTGCACTAAGCTACACTATTTATTTATGTTATTTATTTTTTTGAGTCAAACAAATAAAAAATAAAATTATTATCTAATCTAATACGACATACCTAAAGTACTTGTGCAATGTCTTAAACCCTTTTTTTTAATTATATGAAAGTTTTGGTAGTAGCGATTAATGAGATTTTAGTATAGTTTTGACCAAATTTGGCGAATGACTTATTGCCACTTTAATTCCCATTTAGTTATTTTTAAGCCTTCTTTTAGTTAGGTATGTTGATTAGTTTGGAATGAAGCTAATGAATTATGATGTTAGTTAACACACAATTCAATCTCATATTTGAAGACGTACTAGTCAAATCTTGGCCAAATCAAGAAAGCCCAAAAATGATTCACCAGCGACCTCACTCTAAGCCTAGGTAAGGATTTGAACTCTCAACCTTTAACGTAACACTTACAAGAACACACGACAAATATATCTGATTAAATTATGTAATTTTGTTGTCATATCGATTGGGATATTAAGATATGGGAATAAGCAAGCTTACCAAGTAGAAATGAAGAAGAAACCAGCTTGCCAAGTAAGAGATCTCATAGGAATAGAAGATTGAGGGTCCCAGCTTACATAAACCGGAGGAGTAGTTTTGCTAATAGCAATTAGCAAAAATGAATGCTGAACAAGCATTGCAATAGCCAATGCTACAAATGCAACTGATGCGCATATCAAAGGCACTTTACCACTTCCACTATACATACACTCGTAATCCCCTTTTTCCTTATGCCCTTTCTTTGCACTATTATTATTGTTGTTTTATTAACATCCATGTCACCTACAAAAAACGTTACATCATACGTTAAGATCATGATTTTACAAAATCGATAATTAAATAGAATAGAAACTAGTAGTCTTTTCGTACGACTTTTTGATTAATAAATAGAATTCGTGTTTTTTTTAAAAAAAAATAAATAATAATATGTGTATGAGTTTGTTTTGAGTGCGATAGTCTACCTATCTAAAATTCATTGATTTTGCAAGTTTGAACATGAAAGTATATGAAATCAAATGGATGAGAATATTTTAATACGAAATCATCAAATCATTTCCAAAATTCATTAATTTTGCAAGTTTGAACATGAAAGTATATGAATTATTCTGTGAGCCTAAGTTACGAAAAAAAATAAAGAACATGGCCTAATAGCAAATACTTGGAGAAATTACATGAAATAGTTTGGAAATGCACTAAAATAAAACAATTACATACTGACAATTAATTCCGAACAAAAGGAGTAAGATAAGCACATACCTCGGAACGAGTAGCTTCGGCGAAGAGGGAGAGAATGAAGCAAAGGAGACCACAAAGGATACAAAGAATGGTAAGAAGAGCACCAGTTTTGCTGGAGAGTTGTAAACCTTGTGGTTTAGGAGCCAAGTCTGCATGCGTTACACCTCTTGCTCTTGCTCTTGTTGTACCAGCCATCCTCATCATCATCATCATCATCATCATCTTTCACTTTAATTATGATATAATTCCAATAATATATAATGGTTCGTTTTATTTACATAAAACTGGGAATTTTAGAGGGAGTTATCAATTAAGGTAGGAAGGAAGATTGTATAGGGAATTGCTTCGAGAAAAGGTTGCTTTAGATGAAGGAGATTCTTTGAGCCAATTTAAGGCCTTCTATTTCTTTTATACTTGCAACCTTTTTTGTAAGATTTCACACCTCAACTTATATATTTATACTCTATTTGTTTCTCGAACATGTATGTGTTTTTTTTTTTATTTTAAATGTGTGAAATGGTTACAAGTACTTTTTTCTGTTCCTTTTTGTTTGTCTCGTTATGCTTTTATGTGGCTTTTTAATATATATATATACTTCGACAAGATTATGTGTTGCACATTAGTATATGACCATTATTATCTTCCGAGAAGTATTATAAATAAATTACACTAGTATTTTAAAATTACTAAGAAAAATAAATTACTAAAAATATTATCTTCTTATTATAATATTTGGTTTTGTATCATCAACTATTTTTTTTCTTTTGTGTGGGTTGATTAGTTGTTCGTTTTTCTTGTTATTATTTTTTTTTCGTTTAAAAATTTTATGGTGAGAGATTTAAATGATGAATTGATGATGACACTGTTTTAGTACGCCGTTGCTTTATTTAGCACCATTAAATTTTTAGGTTTTCATTTATTTTTGGTCCCTGGACTACTCCCTCCAATTATATACTTTGTATACATAAATTAAAATATTGTCAGAGAGTGCAAAAACAAAACAATACTATTTTCTTGAAATTTTTAAATTTCTAATTTCGTTGTATAATTGAAGGGACCGAGAATAAATTATTACTCCGTATAATATATTAAGTCTCATTCAATTCACCACTCTCTCTTGATAAATATCTTTCCAATTCCGTACAAGAAGATTAAGAGTGTATGAGAGATCAAGATCATTATGTCGATTAAAGAAGAATGTATCACTAGGTAAAAAAAATACAAGGCATGTCTAAAGACAACATTGTGACAACTAAAGGAATTTGTTAGATTGCACATGCATTTTGAGTGAAATAAATCTCTTATTTACGCATTGTACATTTAGTATGGTTGTAGCATATACATATAAATGAATGAATTTTATTCTCCATCTAAAAAACACGCTAATTGTTAATTAGTGTACTTGTTGTAAAAAAAAAAAAAAATTTAGTGTACTTAACTTGTTAGACCAACTAGCTTTTTGGCCCTTAAATAACTTTTATTATTATTTATATATACGAGTAGTAAATATATATCAATAAGTAATACATGTATTAAATAATAATTATATGTTAATTAAACCTCATGAAAGGCACACCATCAAATTGATAATAGAGCTGACCAGACCCTAACTCCTTATTAAGAGCTTTTGTGCCAAGTACATCAAAGACAAAAGTGCTGCCACCATCAAGGCAATACAAAATATAATTCAATCATTAATCACCTAACTACTTTTTGAGATTATGTTCTTCATTACCAATTATAACAATAATTTATTTATAATTCTATATGTATATTTCATTTAGAAAAGAAAAAAAAAACAATTAAAAGTCTATATGTATGAAGCTTCTACTCGTATTAGTTTTTTAGATTCGTGATCTTCAACCCAGCTTTTCTAAAATCAAAGCATAATAAATCTTAATATTGTCATAGTGGTTCATTCAATATTCCACTTCCACCAACACACTATTATTGGTATGCCGGAAAAAAGTTTTTTTTTACCAACTAGACTTTTTTGTATGAACCGGCCTTAAGTCTCTGTTCTTTTGAACTGTTGTGGTCTGCTTTGCTGAACCCTGCTTTGTTGAGTATAAATAATTTGCTCTGCTGACACCTCTTTGTTGTGCTCAAAAGAACGGGGCCTAATACACGCACACAAGTCATCATACCATCCTAACACACGGAATTATAAGAAGGGGATAAAAATAACTGTTGAGATTAATGAATATTGTCCATTGAGTTAGCAATTCTGTGTCTCTCAACTATCAGACAAGTAGCCTCTATTCAGTATAAAATCTTATGCTTTTCTTTTTCTCCTGTACCAAAAACATAAACTTAATTTTCAATTATATCATCTCACCTACCAAATATGGTGGTAATATTAATTATAAAAATAATGTTCCTTTTAAAAGCATACTCCGTATTCAACATAATTTCCTTTGACTCAATCATATATAGACTTTTCTTATACTTTATTTGTTATGTATTAATATTACTAGTACAGTAGTACATAGTACTTTAGCTTAATCGCGATGGTTTATTATGCAAAGAATAAGTTTTAATGAACAACTTCAGAAAATACTGCCTCTAATCGGATTCTTTGTCGTAGGGTATGAGTTGGGAATCGACTATCAATGTATGTTGTTTGGTATTGATTGAGGTCTCGTTTGCTCTGTTGCTAAGTATGACAGTTGATATAGCTCGTCAGGGGTATCATGCATATATCGTGTTAAATGATTATACTCGGGTCCCTGATGAGCCTTGAACTAGTGTCTCCGTCTAGAGTTTGTAGGATCATGGATTCTCTTGTATTGGCTCTCAGTATCTCCTCTCATTCGGAGATGTACTTCCTCATCTGTGGCTCTGTCACACATCAGCTGTCGACCTGTCGTACTTAGCAACAGAATAAATGAGACCTCTATCAGTAACAAGCAACATTCTCAGTTGACTTACAAAGCTGCTGCCAGAAAACTGCACTCCAGATGGATATGGAATATACTCCACACGCGTATAGCTTTCGCAGCAAAAATTAGGTTAAATAAGGCACATGAATAACTGATCTATTGACTGCTTAGGGAAAATCAGGATAAGCCACATTTCCGGGCCATAAAATGTGCTAACCCGGTAAATCAAGCAAAAGAAGCCTAAAAAGAACTATGGGAATTCAGTAAGCTCTATAATTGACCACAAATGGTGATAGTATCTATATACATTTGTTTGATTAAATAGGCAGAATTCAACTTACCCCTAGGATCCTAATTTACAAGAAGCCGCAGAATGCATCTCCATCAGCATGCACGCTATTACCTTCAATAATTGCACTATCACATGCAGCATGAGCATATTGTTCACAAGGAATAGCACGCCTTCTTTTTCCAGACATATTATTATCAAGCCCAGGATTTGGATTTGTTTCTTTCAACTTGACCAAGAAAGATTCGTGAGGATTTCCAAGGGCAAAACTCTGAGCAATACTATCAGAAGCTTCGACTCCTGGTATAATCAGTGAACCTGTTGAGCTATTGATACCCATTTCATTTGCTTCATTATGATTGTTCAGCTTAGGGAGTTGTTTGATGTGAGCCAGTACCATTGACATATGCTCACATGCAAAAGTCAGGCGTTCTTCAGTTACCACTGATTCTGAAACAATTGTGGAAGCTATGGCTTCCAGAAATTTGACCTTCTCTGTTTGCTCTTTTTCAACGTGCTCATTCGATACAAGGCGCCACCTCAAAGGCAGATAAGGGTCTGGGATGCGAAAACAGTTATTTGTTGAGAGAACACGAAGAATATGACGACAAAGGATGCCTAAAAACTCAAACTGATGACAACTACAATGAATGAGTTCTTGACTAGGGTCCCACATCACTTTGCATCCTCCGTCCATCTCTGTGTGGTGTCTGATCTGGAAGCAACCTTCGCCAACCATAATGGAGGCATATTGAGGGGCTGAAACGAGCTCTTCTTGGAGGAGAGAAAAGGCAAAAGGCGTAAAAACAGTAGCAGCATGCGACTCCATTGGGGAACCTGTTTTTAAAGAAACTTTCTCATTTTGCTGCATTTTCAGCTTTGATCCACCATGGTCATCATACTCTGCAATATCGGCTACCTACAGTTACAAACATATTAAGAATGAGGGTCAATATAGCAAGTAAACCACCTTTCTCTTAGACAAAAATTATTACTTGGTGGTCTCACCAATATGACTGATAAACCATGACAGCAGAAACTGCACTGCTTAATTATGTCCCAAACCGGGATGGACCTTACCCGAAAATTTATGTGATACAGTCTAATAATGATTAATTTAATGTAGTAAAAAATTAACAATAAACCCCAGTATGACCCAACCTTAGACCCGACCTGTAACCAAATGAAGTAACTCATTACTAGAATATGATCTAATCCAAACTGACTCGTTTGCTATCTCTAATCGCTATAAGCAAGATATGAAAATTCAGTAGGTATAAAGGTAATATAGCTTTACAACTTGCTGATATGAACTGGTAGAGAAACTATTTTGCAAGAAACTCTAGTTTCTAAGGAAATAAATTACGAAAGGAAACAACATTGTTTAGATAAGAGTATGCAGACACAAATTTGAGAAACCACTTGAAAAACTTTTTTGCATGAACCACAGCAGATGTACACAAAGTAGTGCTCTGTAGAATAATAAAAGAGAACTTACTTTATCAAAAACAATCAAGTGTAGATTGTACACTTAATATCCTTTGAATGAGAGCATTAATGGAGTCTGTCACAGATCTACTCATGAGTCCAGCAAAGAAGTAGCGTCTCAAGAAAGATAGAGCCCAAAAGTCCCGTAATGCATAAAGGCAGATGATGTGTTTATTTGACTGTAGTTCATATCTATCAACCATCTCCTTCCATTCAGCTTCAAACTCATCAACCATTTCCAAGCTATAAAGACGATAAAATTCGGTCTTCCAACCATCATAATGAGACCCAAGTGGCAAAGAAAACCAGTCTGACAAGTTGGCAATGATATGCCATATAGAGAATGCATGTTTGGTTTCAGGCATTTCACAAGTGATCGCTTCTTTGAGCCACATATTTTGATCAGTCAAAATGGTTTGTGGTGCTTTTCCTTTCATAAAACATAAAAATGTCTGCACATATTATTTCAAAGAAATGAGAAATATAATTACAATGAAGAAATAAGCAACAGAATGAAGCAGGATTCTTCTTGAGCAGCAGATGGTTATAGAATAATAGATACATACTTAAGATGTTATAGGTACCTTCAATGCCCAAGTAAAGGACTCCAGGTTTTCATCCCGCAAAAGAACACAACTGTAAAGACAAGCCTTTCCATGATTATCAACCCCAATCAAAAGGCCTAGAAGCATATCATAAGCATCCAGACGATGATTAGTGTCCAGCAATATTGCATCCCCAAAGGCTTCATACTTTTGGATGGATGAAGGGTATGACCAAGCAATATGCTCTAATCTATTATGACCATCTAATTTAAAATCATACTTGAAATAAGAATTTTCATCTTTTAATCTTACACATGCTGATGAGGTCAATAGCATCGTTATCTTTATCAACATGTCTGAAAGACTGTAGCAGGTCTCTGATATGTAATTCAGTGAATGGTAAGCAACCTAATTTAACGCCTTTCTCAAGCTCCATCAATCTCAACATCTGGCGGGCTGACATTCCAGCTTTTGCAAACATGCAAATCCGACTTTTGTCATCAGCAGAAATGGTGCAGTGCGATGGAGGGATTTGTGCTTCAACTGATTTAAGAAGTTCGTGATTGTGATTGTTACTAAATCCAGTGACACGCCATTCAGGGACATCCAAATCTGACCGTTTCACTATTCTCATGTATGCTTGACAGCCGCACCGTGATGATTTTCTATTCCTTTGCAACTTCCCTTCCTCACTAGGTTTCGCCTGTGGATGTCCACCACGATGGCAGGTAAAGTCCCTTCGTGTGACTCCCCGTCCCACCCCATCTTTTCCCCGAGTGCGGTGGCGCCCTGATGGAAAAGCCACATTGCTTGGCAAAGCTGCAATAAAATTCATAGGCAGCATCTTGAGAAACAAATCTCTGGCCGATAAATGGAACTAGGTTGACTGATGTTTGTCGTGACAATATAGCATCCTCTGATATTCCCTCTGCAGACTCAATGTTGTCCTGTGACAGATCTGTTTCATTCTCAGAGGATTCCATATTCTGACTTCCATTAACTGTCATTTTTTGCAGCAATCATTCAGACAACTGAAAGCAGGTAGCAAGCACATTAGTTCTAATGAAGGTTTAGTGTTTAAATTTAAAACATAGAGAATATACAGTAATAATTTTCATTTTACTTAAGGTAAGAAAGAATAAAATAAAATTTATACAAGAATAGGCAGCCCCATTTCCAACGGAGCACACCACGGATGTTGCACTCAAAATAAAAGGATATAGACTGAAGGGAAATTCTTTCATCTTTATTTAAAAAGATTCAAACGGTCTCAGCTTTTATAATAGGGATAAGGTTACAAAAATCTTAACCTTCAGACCCCTCTTCCTCTTTACTAGGAATGACACTGTGGCTTCTTGTTGTGTAGAGAACTAGAGATAGGGGTTCGAAAGTTCAATTGTGCTCAAGCTACTCTAGGCTTCAAGTTTTGGCAACTACATTGAATTACAGAACATGATGTAGCCCCCCCCCCCCCCCCAAACTGATAAGCGCAAAAGAGGATAGTTCCTCACTCGTTTTCTCCACACATACACACATATAGCATCAAGAATAATACACATAAGAAGATCCTGTTAACCAGCTTTTTCTTGATCCTGTCACACAGCCTTTACTAAATCCTGTTAAACACCTCAAATTGAAAACCTAGATTTTTCTTTGTTCATATTCTGGCAATGCATCAATTGGAAGCTAAAAATATAAAAGATGGGAATGCTTCAGTAGGCATTTAACACTTTGAATGCTTAACCTCCTAGGTTATAGAAAACACAACGAACGATGAGAAGTGAGCCTGCCTGTCACTTGTACTATATTACTTCCTTTACTTCTTCAGCGAATAAAAACAAGCTAACTACTAAGCTTAAGCAGCTAGGTGAGGTGAGAAACAGGGATGGAGTCTAATATGCATCATCCTCCACGGATTGTAGACACAAATAAAATACAAAGTACAATGTCGAATAACCATTCAAGTAGTCAAGACTAAAACCAGTCACCTAAAAGATTTATCAAATCCTAAAGCAAATGTGTATTAATTAACCCAAGTACTTTGTCATGGGCTTCAACTACACCATCAAACAATGAACTTAATTATCTACGTGGATGTCAACAAACTTAGCCGGTAAAGTCTTGGGAATGCATCCCTAGGATTAAATCCCGTCCTCTTAATAATCCTTTGTGGCTCTATTTACACCCAAAAAAAGGGATAAAAGAGTGTCTATACATTCTTACCCCATTAGTAAAATGGTGATTTCCATATAAATCTCAAAAATAGTTCAAACATCAAATTCAAAGTACAGGCCATTGTTTCAATTAATTCGACGACGGGCAACAGGCTACCCCTCAGCTCAGTACAACCTTTCATTACTATAAATCCTAAAGATTTCAAAGTATATGCTAGTTATGAATACCCCACTAAGCCTCATGCAAGAAGCATCAATTAAGCTCAATTACAAGGCACTCCAATTGTTAATTTCTTGGTGAAATAACACCCAAAAAATTCACCAAATAAACCATTTATGAGATCATTTTGCTATGAGCACAAATCTAACAATAACTGAAAATTTCTCTTGAAAATGCCAAAACATCATTTGGGTTTTGGGTGTATAACCAACTTTTACCCCAAAAAACCCAATATTCAATTCATAATCTCAGATCTAAATAACACCCAGAAATAATTAAGTAAAATACATATAAAAAAAACAATCTTTTTAATCAATATCAAATCAGAGAAGTTCAAACAAATTAAAAACCACTAAAATATCAAGAAAATATAGTAAAATAAATTAAACCCAGAACATAGTTATATATAAGCAAAAGGGTGATTAAAGAACATACCTTTACAATTGATTTGAAGCTGCAAAACAGAAAATTGTGAAACTAACGGTCAAAAATTTGGAGGAGGGAAGAGTGGAAAAATGGCGGGGAAGAAATTTATGAGTTAGAGCGCATGAAGGGGGAAGAGGATAAGCTTTATCTATGGGAAGGAGCTATCTTGCGCTGTACTGGTTCTTCGACTTATTCAGCGCACATTGTCTATGTGCCCTCTCAAGAAGGGGTGAGAATGTAATTACTCAGTTTGTAAATCATTTTTAAGACAAAAAAAAAAAACACACTTTGTATGTAAAATACTTGTTAGAATCGTCTCAAGTATAATGTAAAGGGTAACAATCATATCTATCACTATGTTTTATTAGAAATGTAATCACGGAGTTCATAGCTCTATCCGTCTAGATTTGGCGGATGGTGGCCAATGGGATGGGGTTGAGATGGAAATCATATATGTCATGGGTAGTAGGACTGCGGAAATAATCTGTGGGAATAAGGTGAATCATAAGTAATACCTCTCCAAATTCGCCTAGTCCCAACCTACTTAAAACAATATTGAGCAATTGCCTTGTACTTACTTTAAATAACGAAAATTAATTATTCCAATAATTGGAATTTCATCTTTATATTGAATTATAATGAGCTTGTCTAACATTCACGAATAAATTTGGTTTTGAGACTTGTTGATTAATTGAGTTTTATCTATAACAACGGTAACGAAATTTTAATGGATGCATATATACAAGTATTATAAGGCAAGTTTGAGATGGGGATTTAGGTTGAGATTGCAATTAGGCAAGTGGGTGGTGGTGCAGTGATGAGTAGTGATGGGGATGAATTTTGGATCATGGGGGATGAAAATATTAAGTGGGGATGAGACGGGAAGACCAAAATCCTCGTTCTCTCCTATTAACATACTTATTGTGTTTAGTTTTGTGCTTATAAAACATAAATATGCATAATGAGAGATTCAACATAACTATTGTGTTGAGTTTTGTTAACGCTAGTACAATTTAATGCCACTACAAAAGTAGAAAGCAACCGTTACAAAAACAAAACAATGGATTGTAATTTGTAATGTGTTTGTAAACCTCTAGGTTATTTGAGTTGTTATCGGACTTTATTTGAAGCAATTTCTTTAATCTCCTAATTTTGGAATTCATAATATTGATTGATTTACATTTATCTATATCATGGATAGTCTAAATTTAGCTATGTCTATTTTTTTTCCCTTAAGTATATAAACATACCTTGTAACTTTAATTATTCTTTTATCTTTTCAATTTGTCGTCTTGTTTTCCTAGATATCTCCCATCCCAACTTTTTTGCCGTTGTTTCTCAAGAGTTGGGGTGGTGGGATTATACGTTACATCAATTCAATAATAAAATAATAAAAAAAAAGATGAAAGGGCCAAAAAGATCACAAAATGAATACATTGTTCATGATGATTTAGAGCAATATAAGCTACAAATCATAGATCATTACATGTTGGAAATACAAATTTTGATGATGCTGCTCGTTGTTGTACATACAATGAAAGTCCAACATTTAGTAATTATAATCCACCCATAAAATTACAACCTTCTCATAGGTACGTAATTACTCCTTATTTCAAATCATCCTTTACGACGTCGTCTTCGCCGTCTTCACATCATCGTAGGTCTCATAATTGGAGCTTTGATGAAAATGATTTGAAGAGGAAAACAAGGATTACTACGTCTAGAACATATACAATGGAAACTAAGTTTAAAGCTTCTGTTAAAAATGGTTTTCGTTGGGTTTAAAAGAAGGTGCCATAGAATAGTTTCATGATTAATAGAGATGGTTTAATTTATGCATGATTTCTACATCAAATCCGAAGGTCAATTTGATCAAGAAGTGATTTTGTGGCTTAAAATGTGCTCGTAATTTTAATAATTGGCATGCATGCAATTTGAAGATGTATTCTTTTAGATTATTTTTCTTTTTTGCTTTTTTAATTATTAAAATTGTATAGGAGATTGCAAATAAATTATGATGTGGGTGTTAAGGTATTAGAACTTGTAATTCATTTATATTGTTATATATTTAGAATCGACTATTTATTTACATGTACTTGTATTGTTTTAAGGATTACTATGTAAGAGTATATAACTTTGTAAAATGACAAAGTTTGAATCAAACATGAAATCGACATTATATTATTATTTTTTTGAGGGGGGGGGGGGGGTGGGGGGGGGGGGTGGGGGGGGGGAGGAATATAAGTGTAAAATATAGGGTAAATGACATTTGACTCTAAGTCCTTAATACAATCAACAATTCAACATCTATACAACAACAAGATTTTGTCAATTACACACAAAAAAAAACTTTAAAATGCGTGTAAAATTATATGCAATACATGCAACATAAAATGTTGAATATATATCCTCTTGCAGTCATGCTTACACTATAGAAATTAAGGTAGAAAGAACAGTTACTTCAATTTCTTACCTCAAACAATTCATGTCATTTTGCCATCATCCCTAATCCAAGCTCACCAAGCCCATTGAATCAACTACTTAGATTAGATTGAGTCTAGCCCAATGTGTGGATCATGTAGATTAAGCCAACCCTTTCCCCTTTAATGAAATGACAAAGAGATGATGAAAGAAATATAATCACTCTATAAACTATAAAGAGTACTCAAATAGTGTAATCACGGTGAAAGGGTGTATTCATTAAGTCTTGGGATTTATTCATAGATTGTTGGGATTTATTGCAAATCAAATTAGTTCTCCATAGAGTGTATTCTTTATGATACAAGCTACTAATGTGATGACTAATGAGTTTTAAACTAACAAATTTCTATCACGAACTACATATTAAAAAATTACAAGTATCATATTGACACACCAAAATTCGCAAACACTATTGACAAAAGCTTTGGTTTTTTGATGTTCATATAACTCAAGAAAATGTTCATCATATTATTTAATTTGGTTGAATATAAAAGAAAGAATGTTTTCATTGCATTGCTATTTTTAAACAATTTTCTTTTCATTTTATTGTAACTTGTAAGATGTTATTTAAATTCAAATTAACATATTAATTTTATACACAAACATTCATAACTAGACCCCCCATGTTAACGTAACAAAAAAATTCAAATCCAATAAAAATATAAATCCTTCAAAAAATAAATTATGGGAAAATAAACTTCTCTGTTCTCTCACTAGATTTGGTCCATTATGTTCGAACCTAGGACGCACCAAGGCAAAAAAATGGGCCCATTTTACCTTAACAAATCCAAATCCCAAATATTTTAACCCCTTTTTTGTTTCACTCATTTTCCAAAATTGTTTTGACTTTTCTTTAATCCACGTGTCATCATATCACTTGTCTGTCACTCCCCATTAAAATCCTACCCCTTGTAATTTTATCACCCTTGTATAATAAAAAGTATACTTTTTGTCCCTCTTTCTGTTTTTTTTATTTGTAATTTGAAATCTCAATCTAAGCAAAGAGACGTTACAAGATTTTTGGAATTATTTTTTTTGTGTTTTTCAATTTCTATTTTTTTAAAAAAATTCCAACTTTTTTTTTTCCTTCCCAATTTAATCAATGCTTTGCCCCCATTTAATGCTTGAAACATGCTTCACTCTCTCACTAAAAATCACAACTTTCTCTCTCTAAAATTTCTGGTATTTCCAACAACTGCGCACCCCTTAATTTATTGCTTTACAAACTATTCATTCTCCTCTGTTTCACAAAACCCAGAAAAATATAGACGTTGTCAAACATTTATATAGGAGAGAGAAACAAAGAAGCTTATTTTAGAGACGTTGGAGAAATTCTTCTAAGAAATTCCTCATTTGTAAGTTTTAATCATTTCTGTACTTTGTTTGATTGTAGTTTTAAATTGGGTTTGAATTAATTGTTTCTTAAATAAACTGATTTTGGTCATGGAATGTTTGGTTTTGCAATCAAGTTTCTGTCTTTTGTACTGCTTTGGTACTGTGATTAATGAATCTTGGTGATAAATTGATAATGTGAGATGGGTTTTGCTTGATTATGTGATTAGTTAGCTTAATTAAAGATTTTTTATAATTAGGTGGTGGAATGAGGCTAATGATGATGTTGTTAATTGATTTGAATTTTGATTAGCTGATTGATATGATTGTGATTACTTTTTGAAGGTAAATTTGCATGATTAATGGTTAAATTACCGTTTTAAACACTGTTAGATACTGTTGAAATTGTTCAATTATAAATTGGAATATGATTTCACTTCCAATTTGTAATTGTGAATGTACATATGGAGTAGATAATTTAGCAGAAAATGGCTGTAATGTTCAAATGTGCATGCCCAAGTTAATCATCTTTGTTTGTTGCTATCAAATTTGAGCATATATTAGTATAGTATAAAGTTCTATGATGGGTAAATTAATTGGAATATAGATTCTTATAATGTGCTTTACTAGGGATGGTTGAGTAATTCTGAAGTTATTTGTGACTGCTGTTAGTCATATATTGGGAGCTTGGAGCTATAGTAGAGTAGAAGATACTGCTCCAAGTGAAATCGTTTCGAGCTCGATGCTATCTTAGTAGAAGATACTAGGGTGTTTAAATTAATGTACTTATGGATTATACTACCTATATGACTATATCTTAGCAATACATGTGCACTGAGTTCATAATCTGAACTGAGGGAGCGGTTAGAGTAGAAAATACAGTTTTGAGTGAAATTGTTTTTGAGCTGTTAGAGTAGATGATATCTTAGTCTATAACTAGGGTTTTATTATGGATGATACTACCTATGTTTTAGTGCAATTTGTCTCATTAATTGAACTGTGTTGAGCAGTTTGGAATATCCATCATTCTGCATATGATTAGGTTGAAGATTCATCCACCTATCACTGATTGTTAAAGTTTTTGTAACTGAGCTTGGATCTTTAATGTCAAGAAGTGTTTTGGATTGGTAAATAGCTAAAATGGGTGGTGACAAGCATGGGTCGAAGAGTGGACGTTATGTTGGCGGCTTCTTTCAGCTGTTTGAACTGGAATGCCAAGTCTCGAAAGAAGTTGTTTTCGAGCAGATCTGATTCACCAGGTACATTACAGCTACATTCATATATGTGTTTGTGTTGTGATTCTTTAATGTGAACTGCAGATCATTCATTTTCTTTTGGTTGTTTTGGACAGAATACTCGAAGCAAGGAAAGAAAGGAGAGGAGAGTTTTCCTATGACAAGAAAGCGTGTGGTGAGAATTTATTCAATGACTGATATCTGCTGAAATTAATTGCCATAATATTGATTTAAGATGATTTGATTAATTATATACCAGGAAGAAGAAGAGGAGTATGGTGCATTTGGTGCAGGATTTAGTGCCAGAGGAGGAAGTGATTATAGCTGCGCATCATCTGTCACAGATGATGACGGTTTTGGATCAAAAGCTCCTGGGGTAGTGGCCAGGCTCATGGGATTGGATTCCTTACCAATGTCAATAGGAATGGAGTCATATCCTTCCCCCTTCTTTGACTCTATCTCTCTAGGAGAGGCTCCATTTAGAGGAAGAAATCTCGACTTTTATCATGATCATCAAGTTATGCATTCAAGCCACCTATTTGACAAAATGGAGCCTACAACTAGGAATAATGACTTTGAAACTAGATCTATGAAGTTGCCTAACAGACCAATTGAGAAGTTTCAAACTGATACTTTGCCTCCAAAGTCAGCCAAAACAATCCCAATCACTCATCATAAGCTTTTATCGCCAATCAAGAGCCCTATTTTTTGTCCCGTCCCAAGATGCAGCTCACATTATGGAAGCTGCTGCAAAAATAATTGAGCCTGGGCCATCAGCAACTCCCCGAGCTAAGATATCTTCAGCTGGATCATCCTCGGTTCCTTTGAAAGTTAGAGAAATAAGGGAGAAACTGGAAGCAGCGCAGAAACCGTCCAGGGCTCCTGTATTAACGCAAAGGCAAGTTGAATCCAATGCTGCCAAGTATCTAAAAGGACAGCCTATGAATAGGAGTTGGAATGGTCTAAATGAGACGTCATCATTTAGGGCATCCCCGAGTAGAGAGGATAGTTCTGCTGCTGTAAAGAAAAAGGGAAAGTCAATTTCGCTTGCCATACAAGCAAAGGTTAATGTACAGAAAAGGGAAGGCTTGACTTCAAACAGTAGGAGTTTGGGAGATTCAGAAGAACAGGATGATAGCAAGTCAAGTCAGTCATCAAGGAACCAAGCAAGTGGTCCAAAGTTCTCAAATAGGAAATCTTTGAACCAAAGTGCTTCTTCTGTACTACGACAAAATAACCAAAAACAGAACTGCCCTCCACATAGGGAGAGATCTTCTGCTCCTAAGGCTTCTGTTACTACAACTATTGGTAAAAAAGCCATATTCTGAGGATACTTCTCATAGCCGACAAAAAAGTTTAGCTCGAGAAGCTGGGACCTCAAGAACAAGTTCGAGGAAATCTAGCTTGCATGCAAGGGACGTTGTTGATAAGGGAGTTCCTTATGCTGGAGTGAGAAATGTTCCTAGAAAGAAAAGGTCAATAGATGGGAATCTGCAATACAATAAGAATCAAGTTCCTGAAAAACCAAGCCAATCTACTGTAATGGCTGATAAGCAATTTAATTGGATAGAAGAAAGCCGAAGGAAAGGAATGGATGTTGTTTCATTTACATTCACTGCTCCTATCACCCGATCACTGCTTGGTTCAGAGCCTTCTAGACAGTTGGTTGAAAAAGGCAGCAACATTTGCTTTGATGATGGAAGCAAAATGCTGACCAACTCAGATCTGACAAGGTTATCTTCTCCTGGATTAAACGGGATAAAGGGTGATGCTTTGAGTAAATTGCTAGAGCAGAAGCTAAAAGAACTAACATCAAACTTTGAGAATTCCCATAGCACCATTGTCAAAACTGGTACTGCTGCAGAATCAGCAGTGGTACCTGGCAGTGCAGAGAGTGCCACAGGGAAGGCCCGAGAAAAAATGTCTCAACAAGAGCCACTAGACACAGATAGCCATATCTATCCTGGATTGTTTGACTATGAAGCTGAACAGTTCACAAGGAAATTCAGTTTTCAGGTACAGAATTTCATGCATATTTTTATTTTGATTTCCATTAATTTTATAGAGACCAACTTTTTTGCATTCAAAATCTCCCCTAGTTTTATGCCCTAAAAAGTTAGGAAGCAACGGTGTACTGATTTCAGCTCTATTCTATTGACAAGATAGGCTCTTTTTTTTTTTTTGTTTTCATCAGGCAGGGGAAGCAATGGAAAAATACAGCCACGACAAAGTTGAAGCTAAAAAATGGAATGATTGTCACTCACCTAGTCCTGTTTCCATTCTGGAACCTTCTATTTTGACAGAAAGTTGCTGTTCTTCAGAAAGCATGGCAAGTAGCATCACGGAAGGTTAGAACAATATCAAAATCATTCACCACTTCCAATACATGCATGTTTTATAATTAGTACTTGTAATCTTAGTTTGTAATCTATACTTGTAATCTTAGTGTATTAATACTGAGCATTCCATGGTTATATTTTCAGAGAGCAAACAACAATGTTCATCAGTTCAGGCTCAGCAAGAATTTGGTCCGGATTCTTTACAAAAGTCACAAGCTAGTAGGGAAGCTGATGCAGAGGTATCAGATTCAGCTTCATCAACATCTTCTCAAATTACTTCAGAAAAGTACTCCATGAAATCAACAGCATGGGAATTAGGATATGTAAAAGACATACTCTGCAATGTGGAGTTGATGTTTAAGGATTATGTAGCAGGTCGAACACGTGAGATAGTAAATCCACACCTGTTTGATCAGATGGAAAGACGACAAGGAGGTGGAAAGGATGAGTTTTAAACTAGAGAGGAAAATGTTGTTTGATTGTGTCAGTGAATGTTTAGATTTGAAGTGTCAGCGTTTCGTGGGTGGTGGGTTAGAAATGTGGAAAAAAAGGCATTGCAACATTGAAGAGAAAGGAAAGACTGGCTGAAGAAGTGTACAAGGAGATCCAGGGTTGGAGAAACCTGGGAAATAGTATGGTGGATGAGCTCGTCAACAAAGATATGAGCAGTAAATATGGGAGATGGCTAGATTTTGAAGTTGATGAATTTATGGTTGGAGTAGACATTGAAGACCAGATCTTAGATTCTTTGGTTGGGGAGATAGTTTCTGATGTCTTATCTTTACAATAATAATTTGGCGTGTAAAATGTAATTTACAATCAAGTACAATTCTTTTGTAATACCACCTATTTAGTGGGTTTCATCCTTGATTAATGATTGTTTTTGCAAACTGGAAGAAGTATATAACTTGGTGAATTAAAAAAAAAATCCATCATTTTTTGGCGTTTAGAGAGCTACAAGGATGTGATAGAAAATCAATCCCAAAATCTCTTCGAAACGGGAGGGAATCATACCACTTGAGCTATCCCAAAATCCACTTCCATGTTTGTTCAATGTGTAAATAGGGTTACTTATTATTAGAAAGAGAATAGACCAACAAAAATTAAATTATTATTACAAGGAGCAAAAGCAGAAGTAACAATTACTTCCAATTAATGACAATGTTATGTGCTTGATAGAGATTAAAACACAAAACAGCAAACTTTTGAGTATTTTATCAAGGTATCGTGCAGTCAGGTATGGTTTATCAAAACACAGCAGCAGATGAACAAATTCACCAGATATTTCCCCAATAACAAAAACATTTACAGATATGATCAATTATAGCTGTACAAATGATAATGTTATTTGCTTTGATCTGAAAATTAATTTTCTAAATACAAAAGAACTCTGTAGGACATTTATCGAAGATCAATCACATCAAACCTCAACTTTGGGTTCAAATAAACGTGTGAGCAGTGTTCATATAGTGGGCTACCATCTGATGGTTCCTCATGAGGATGAAATCCACGCTGATCACAATTTCGAATCACAGAAACACCACCAGGATCAGACAAGTGAAATATACCATGCGGACTGCAATTACACAAACAAGTGAAGTCAGTACGCAGGATATGCTCATCTAAAATGTTACTAAGGCCCCCATTTCAGTTGAATAGAATGGAGCTTAAATGTATAATACTATCATAGATTCACTTAAAAAAAAAGTTAAATAAAGTCTTCATTAACACTAAATTTCATGCTCTTTAATTGGCACTAAATGCTCTCTAAAAGTAGCCTCTTTATGAGTTCTTTCAAACAAAATACCTCGCACCTCTGATGAAGACAAGATCAACAAGCTGGACCAAGTTTTTTTTTTTTTTTTTTTTTGAAATAAGCTGGACCAAGGTTTTCAAATCCTAAATGTAGTGTATTGACACCACAAAGAATCCATGATAACATAGATCTTTGGAATTCTCTAACAGACAAGGAACCATGCAATTCCAGAACAATGAAAGTTTTTCATTATTTATAAAAAGCACTCCGTATATAGCCTTTATAAAATGTCAACCAATCATCAAGGATAGTATATCTAGTGGATAAACCCTTCACTCTAAGTTATCCAAAGATTTTATCAATCATCTGCATTTCGTGCTATTAAACAGGATTTTATAATATTAAACTCAAGTTCCCTTTCCCAAGAATGTTAAGCAGCCATCTTTGAAGTAATGTTTCTTTTTCTAGTGTATTTTATGTCCCTAGATGACAATGAAAGGATAAGGAAAGGTAAAAACACATTCATAATAAATCTATACTTGTCTAAAGACAAGAACAGGCAATATGGAAATATATAACTAATTTCTATTGTTTCATGAGACAACATTGGTGTCCGATACTCCAATCTCCTTCTCCACCCTTTCTATTTTCATCTTCATATACCATGACCAGAGTCTATCATCCCTGCCATGCCCTCTAATTATGTCACAAATTAAACCAAGAATCCAGGTGAGTGACTATAAAATATTCCCTCCATCAGGTATAAAATAATTAAGTATACTATTGAGAGATAAATTCCTTTTCCTTAATCAGAAATGTATTATGATTATATTTAAAACACTCCCCCACTTAAATGTAGAGCTGGAGAGTAGAAGGGGAGCATAGAAGAAGATAACAATAGTTGGGACAGAGGGCAATAAATTCCAGATGGACGGAGTAAATGTTCATGAGAGTTATAAGCCCAGAACAGAGCAATATTACAGCATTGCAGGGCCCAACAGGTTACAGATAATACCAAACAAAAAATATAACTTGCATCTTCATTTCGAAATGAGCTAAAGGATTGTTTTTATCATGATAAGTTTCTCTGTTTTCTTAAGCTTTTTTGAGTCCATGATTATCGGGCCAGTTTAGCATTCAGCAACAGTTATGCAAAGTAAGATGGAATATACCTGGATGAATCTGTAGGTGCCATAACGATAGCAACTGCTTCCGGCAACATAATCTGACAAGCAATTTAAAGAATGATTAGCCGAGCAAGGTATCGACATTAGCAAAGCAGAAAAGCACCTCTAACAAATGTGACCATGGCATCTCAAATACAATCCTGGAAAAGAACTACTTCCTTTGTCTTGACCTATATAGCCCCTAGGCAGTTTGATAAAGTGATTAAAGATGATAAACATATTGTAGATAAATATGCCCAAATTCATTGCCCTAATTGGTGGTTTTTTTTTTTTTCTTTTTTCTTTTTTATATTGAGTATTAAACAATTTAGTCATTTACCTTATCTAATCCCTACTTTAAATTGCGTGCCAATGTGCCATAGGAATAGGTCTTGCTAATACAGCAGTAGAATGATACATCAAGGCATGTAGAGTCTATACGTTTGTAGCATGATAATTGTTTTTTTTTCTTTTAAAAAAAAGAACTCAAGAAGCCATTTCTTTTACCTGATATGAGTAATGAGTATGCAGGTCAACTGAGGACATAAAACATGTCTGTGTCGGGTGCGTCTGTCAGTATGAAGAAAATAAGAGTATTAGTACTAGAACATCAGTAGAGGATGTTACTATAGCTTAATAATTATATATATATATATATATAAATAAAACAAAATTAAAAAATTAAAAAAAAAAAAAGGCAAATTTTTAGGGAAATTGCATATTCAAGATGCAGGAAATTCAACACTCATGCAAAGCATAGTGCTTGAATAATAAAGTTTCTTATAGCTCATAGCCAGCTAGACAAGCAGATGATACAATGAGATTGGCGGGAAGAAAAAAGGCAAATGCATAAAGTAAAAACCATTACTATCAGGATTAGAAGCTCACATGAATCCATCCAAGAGGAAATAGTGATGCTTTGTCCTGAACCTCAAATATTTCTTCCTCATTTAATGTCTGGCACTGTAAAAGGTAAATACAAATTTGTTCAGCTCACCATAAGTAGTAGAAGTGATACAACATCAAAGTAGGAAGAGCTACCATATCATCTGACCCTCTCTTTAATGAATTATTTTGTATAGCACTATAGCTGAAGCCGAGTCATAAATAGGGATTAATCCACGTCTTTTATTGGAGTTCAAACAAAGCTAAAAGAGCAAGTCCTTGTAATGATATACATCATATACTTGCCTATATGTAAGCATATGCATCCAAAAATCAATCAATCAATCAAAACCTTAACCCCATAAGTGGGGTAGGCTACATGAATCAAAAGTGATTATTCTGTGTAGTCATCCATATGCACCCCCATTAAAAAAAAAAAAAAAAAAGAAGAAAGACACAGGGAAAGCAAGCACACATACGGTTGATAAAACAAAGGTCATTAGGTCAATAAATTTCTTAAAAGTGTTCTCAGATAGTCCAAAACTGCACATATTAAAGACCTCAATATGCAGAAAAATGAAAACATAGGTATTATGTTAACAAGTATTGAAGTTAAGCTGAATTTTCAATCTGAAGCACGTCAAAATGTCAAACGAAGTCTGATCACAATTTAATATTTCATATTAAATACGCATATGTATAATAGATGTCATCTCCTCCATTTATGTGCTATAATTAACAAGTACTTCCAATTTAAGGTATCCTTTCTGCTGGCCATCATGCTGAACTCACAAATGTTAGAGAATGCTACATGATTGGAGGCCACATTTAGCAGATCCTATCATCTACAATATAAGTTATATCTGTTCACAAGGTTCTTTATAATTCGAAGATCAAAGTATCAAACATATAGCTGAACACAACAATGAAAACAAACTAATCCAAACACCAAGGGTCTATTGGAAAGCAAGCAACAACTTACTGAATCAGAAGTTGACTCTTGCTTCGGAACAATTAAAGTAGTAATGTGAAACACTCGGTTTTTCTGCATCCAGAAGAAAGTTGAAGCACTTGAGATAAACATTAAAAAATATAGTCTCCAGCAAAAGGAACACATGAAGAAATTGAGAAAAACATACCAGAGAACCAGCTAGAACTCCACATGTTTCAAGATTTTTTGTCGTATTTTGTTGTGCCAGCCTCAAGAAATCTTCCATCATTCTCACAGGCTGCAATAAATAATAAAATGAAGTCCTGAAACAGAAAGAATCGCAGCAGAATCTAAAAATAATCTCCAAAAAATTGAGTAATTGAAACCTACAATATGCAGATGTTGATATGAATTAGGATTCTGTGTCCCATTCTCTGAAGGCTTAGCTGGTCCAGGTCTTGGATCAGCCACTCTTGATGGAGAGATAGGATGGTAATCTGGATGAACTTGAGCGAGTACAGGGGGAGGAACTGGCTGCCTTATGATTCCCACAGACAAGTCCTCTTCACAGGGTGACCAGCTACCATTGTCTAAAGACAGGACTGCTTCCATATCTTGTCCTAACCTATCATCCTTCTGAACTTGAGTTTCATTTTGTGTATCTTGAATAAGGCTGTCAACCACATGGGATATAAATAGTTGGAAGCAGAAAATGTT